TGTAGCTGGCAGAAAAGCTCTCAAGTCTAAGTCACGTCTTTATGACCTACCCAGAACACCAAGAGAAAGCTTTGTCAATGACTACAACCCGGCCGTGTTGCTAGCTTGGAATGGAAACGTGGACATCCAGTATGTAGGTGAAAGCACTTCTATCCTACATTGGTATGTCACAAAGTACACTACCAAAAGTGAACAAAGTCATGCTGGACAAGTTTTTACAGAGATTAATTCTACAAAATCATTAGCTAGTAGACTGTTTAACGTTGGCCTTAGAGCTTTAAACAACCGTGAGTGTGGTTCTTTAGAAGCCAGTGACACACTGTTGGGCATTCCATTGTACGGCACGGACCCGGAGACAACAATAAGATGGTTAGATGTAGGCATGACCAGACGCAAAAGACTACAAAAAATCGACAAGATACGAAATATGGACCCAAGTTCGACGAACATATTCTACGAGTCGTGGGTTGACGACCACTACCCAACTAGACCAGATGAACTTGAAGATATGAACTTATACGACTTTGTGAGATGGTACGATATAGCTGCTCAACCACCTAAAGGCGACCGTGAAGTGCATAAGTTGAATTCAGGCAAATTCCTCACTAAAAGAGTCAGACCATGCTTACTGAATCACTATAAGTACAGCCCCACTCAGGATCCTGAAAAATACTACCATGCATTACTTCTTATGTTTCTTTGTTGGAGATCAACTGATGAGCTGAAAGAGTCTCATGAAACATACACAGATGCTTTTATGGCCAAGCAGACACTTCTCACTCAAGCCTTCAAATATGACAAACGTTTAAAAGACATAATTGCGGCATCGGAGAATGCAAGAGACAAAATTCAAAACCGAGTTGAAGAGATCAATGCAGAAGAAGGAGAGGTTGCTGATCCATCCAATATAGCCTTTCAGCCCTTTAATGAACCTGTACCCGCATCCCAGCCTGCCAGGGACAGCAATTGGGCTCCCAATGACGAGCCGTTTGAGACAAAATACCAAAAACTCAACGATGACCAAAAGAGAGTGTTTGATTATGTCAAACGAGCTGTTGCAAACTCTGATGGGACAGATAAATATCTGAGACATTTTGTAAGTGGTGTGGGAGGTACTGGTAAGAGTTTTCTCATCAAAACTATCAGCTCTTGGACTAAAAAATGTCTTCAAGCCTCCACATCAATATCAGCTCCCACAGGACTAAGTGCTTACAACATCAATGGTTCTACGATCTACAAAGTGTTTCAGCTGCCAGTTGAGCATGGAAAAACTCCAAAGTACAAAGCTCTTACTGATGATGTTTTAAAAATGTTGAGATCCAACCTGAAAGATGTGGTGCTCTTCATAATAGACGAAGTGTCCATGGTCTCTAATCTAACATTGATGTACATAAATCTCAGATTGTGTGAAATATTCAACACCTCAGACCAAAGTAACGGCTGGTTTGGTAAAAAACATATACTGCTCTTTGGAGACCTTTTGCAACTTCCACCAGTACATGAAGACTCCCCATTCATTGAACTTGACAGTGGCAAACTTAGTTCTTTTGTTGGCTCTCTGTCTTGTGTTAACATCTGGTCTGAACAGTTCTCTTATGATGAACTTACTACAAACATGCGACAAGCTCAAGATTCTAAGTTTGCTGATGTGTTAAGCAAAGTCAGAGTAGGCAATATGACCGTTGAGGACATCCGTCTAATTGAAAGCAAGAAAATACATCTTAATGGAAAAACTGCTTCGGAAAACCTTTCTCTACTAGGAGATTACTTGTCTGCTTTACCCAACAATTCTGTGTGCCTTTGTTCAACTGGTTACCAATGCTCCATAATAAATGATGAAATGGTCAATAGAATAAGCGGTCCTGTCGTTAACTTGGTTGCAAAAGACTCAGTTGACTGTCTACCTCGTCAACAAAACAAAGTTAAAAAGATACTGTCATCTTACAACTCTGACTGCAGCAGAACGGCTGGTATGGAGAAAATTATTCCTATTAAGGTTGGTGCTAAAGTTATGTTGCGCAGAAACATTGATGTCACTGTGGGGCTAGTTAACTCCGCCATAGGAACAGTAACGGGGTTGAGGTTTAATACAGACAATTCTGATGATGTAGACTCAGTGACAATTAACTTTGATTGTGGCATTACCCATCACCTACAGCGAGTAAACGTCAAGTTTCAAGTGATGGATAACGCATTTGTGTATCGAGAGCAATTCCCGATATCAATGTCCTACGCGGTTACAATTCACAAATGCCAGGGCCTCAGCTTAAATAGCGTAATAATTGATATTGGGGAGTCCATATTTACATGTGGCCAATCATATGTTGCCTTGTCACGAGTGACTTCATTAGAAGGGCTTCATCTTATTAACTTTAACCCAAGAGATGTGAAGCCTCAGAAATCCGCCATTCTCGAATACAACAGACTAAGGCAGAAGTACAAATCTGATCTTCCACTTTACAACACAAGTTGTGACTCCTCTTCGGCTCCTTATGTGAGAGACAGGAAGTGGTGCCAGACCAAAAATGTCGAAAAAGTGCAGGATGAGAGTACAAAACCAGTACCCTCTGCAAAGACTACCGGAAGATCGAGAGTTCAGTCAACTTTAGCATTAAGAGGGTTAAAGAACAATGATCGTGTGTCATGTTATGCGAATGTTGCAGTTCAGATGCTGTATTCTGTTCCGTACATCAGAGAGATAATAAAGAACTCGGAACTAATTTGTCCTCAGTTAAAACAACATCTTCATGATTACGAAGTGTCTCCCTCGGAGGTTGTTTTAGATACAGTGATTTTAAGAAACCTCCCTAACAACAATACATATACCCTGACAGAGCAGCAAGACTGTGCTTTGTTCTTGCTGGACTTATTGGAGACCAACAAGGGCATTATAGAAGCCATCTCATACAGCACGGTGAAAACCACAAAATGCCAGCACTGTCATTACACATTCACAGGGCAAGAGGAGACAGGCAATATAATCAGAATCCCCGTGGTGGCTGGTAAAGTAACACTACGAAATCTGTTAAGCCTTACGATGAACGACCACTGGGAGCCCTTGTTGGATTATGTGTGCAGTAATGCTGAATGCGGCCAACGAGGATCGAGCCTGGGCAAAGTACACATCACGAAGTCAAACCGCTGTGTTCTCTTACAGTTTTTAATATTCAACAACAACTTACAAAAGATTACCACAACAAACATAGCAGGAGTCCCAAGTGCTCAAGTGACTATAGGTACTAAAACATACAGACCTACAGCAGCAATCTTTCATCACGGAGATACAATATCACGAGGCCATTACACTTGTACTATGAAGACAGCTTCAGGTTGGACAACAGCCAATGATGAACAAATATCAAACCAAAGATGGCCCATTGGTTCAAAGAATCTGTACATGCTGTTATTAACAGAACAGTAGAGGCAGCAGTTATTACTTTGTTACTAATAAAATTTATTTTAATTTTTTTTTCAAAGAAAATAGAATTTTTATTTTAACTGTTAATTTTCTACAAAAATAAATAAAATCTAACAAAAAACCACTAAGTGGTAATACTTTCCCCGCCAAGTCAGCAATCCAAAAAAGATAATAAATCATTGTTTTTTTCCGCCAAGAAAAACAATGTAATGTATGGCTTGTTAAATACTTCAAAACATCAATGGCATCTTTGCAATGGCAAAAGTTTACTGTTAATTTATTTTCTGTAGTAAAATTACATCATTTTGTTGGTTTCTACTTTTATTTTTTATTTTTAAAATCACCAAGTTTGGCAACTTGGCGGCAGACTTTTGCTCGATCACTTTAAAAAATACCATAAAATTAGTTTCATTGAGCAAGTATCTCTCCCATTAGTACATTGCTAGGTGATAGCTTATTTTTAAAAAAAGACCTTATTTGAGCCACATTTCATAAAATCATAATAATGATGGTTTTATATTTACTGATTACCTCGAAATTATTATACTTAGTTAGTTGGACTAATTAATTAGAGAAGTTGATTTATGAAATTATCCTCAAACGTAACTTTAATGAAAAAACCAAGCAAAAGTCTGCCGCCAAGGTGCCAAACTTGGTGATTTTAAAAATAAAAAATAAAAGTAGAAACCAACAAAATGATGTAATTTTACTACAGAAAATAAATTAACAGTAAACTTTTGCCATTGCAAAGATGCCATTGATGTTTTGAAGTATTTAACAAGCCATACATTACATTGTTTTTCTTGGCGGAAAAAAACAATGATTTATTATCTTTTTTGGATTGCTGACTTGGCGGGGAAAGTATTACCACTTAGTGGTTTTTTGTTAGATCTGAACATACTAAAGTACACACCTTACAGGGGGGCTGAAAAGTCCCTTACACAATATTGTAGTACGTATTACACTGTTATAAACACGACTGTTCAGCAAATACTTGTACATGAGTAGTAAGGCAACAGTGGGGGGAGAGAATGAAGCCTCACTCACCCATCACCGGATGGGGCGACTGGGTGTAGAGAGTAAGGGCGGTGTTTGCGCGAGTCACCCCAGAAATGCTGAAACGAATGAGCCAAACTAACTTGGTGTCGAGATAAGCTTTGCCGAGACAATGGAGATATGCATGCTGATGTTTTGGACAAAAAATTATGTTCACTTTGTGTAGTCCACAATAAATTTCTGATTAAAATAGATTTCAATGGTTTTAATCAACACCAATTGAATTTAGATTTAGTGTAAAGGGTCTTTTCAGCCACCGTGTGGTTACAATTAATTGATTAATTGAGTAAGTGCCAAGATTATATTCAACTAGCTGAAAACAACACCGTATGCAGGTAATTCTAATGAGGGTAGCATATTCAGTAGTTTTGTGATCAAAGGTTTTCAGTAATGAATTCAAAATTCCAATCATGCCCGGCATTTTCATGATTTTATGACATTACAAACCTTTGAACTTTATTATAGATATACAATATAAGGTCCTTACAATTGTTCAACACTTCTCAAGAGTTTGGTTTGATTACAGAAGATCTAGAAAGGAAGGCTGAAGAAGCGTTGGAGTGTGCAGAGGCACAGTTTGGTGTGCGAGCCATGTCCAGGCTAGGGTCTATGTTGACAGCGGCAGAGTTTGGTCTCAGCGAGCCTGAACTGCTGGAGTTGTTGATGCCAACTGCAGGGCCGAGCACTGCAGAGCTATTACTGGCCGAGGGGCAGTTCAACTTCTCAACTTTTGCTATGGTCCGCCGGAGTATAAGTGAGTGCACAGCATAGTGAATGCAAAATGAATGTATGTTTTTTAGCTAAAAGTCTTTTTAGGAAGAGACTGAAATACTATAATGATTTTTTTTATATGTGAGGAGATCCATTCTGTTATGAAGAGAAGTTAGTTCTAAACCCAATGGGGGACGTGCATAGGGGAAGGGGGAAGCGTTTCGTTCGTTGGTTAAAGGACCGATCCTACTAGATGTCGAAATATATTCTCTTCTCCACATAAGAGCTACAAGTCAATACAGGGTCTTACAGATCTGTGGGTTCTTATAATTGGATTGACCTGAGAAGCTTGTGGATGCCTCAGGAATTTTAGTTTAGATGCAGATTTATTTTTTAGATTGGATGAGATTGAACTTCTAAGTTATAATTTTTAGTCGTCAATTCGTGCAGAGGGAGACCCTTGCCGATTTCAAAGTTCATACTAAAAGATGCACTTTCAGAACTGTATGTTTTACCCTGGTATTGCAGCTAAAGAAAATTGTTACAGTATTGAGTTATTATTATGAGAGATCTTCTCAACAACCTGTAAAAATGTTTTTTAACTTTATTTAATTAAAAAAATTTCCTAAAGTACAACTTTATTTTCTGTTTAAAGCAATTTCTGTGGTTGCTAATAATAATTCACGTGCATTTTACTGCCCTTATCAAACGTAATGGAATGTACAAAAATGTTTGAGGTTAGTTTTCTAAAGGTATAACAGTTAGCATTACTACTTATAATACCAAAATGTTTGCTCTGATTTTGAAAAACTCCTCAATATGTTTCAGGTCATTTACTTCTGGAAAAGTTTATGAGTGGAAGAATCCTGCTGAGCTGGAGGTACGAGTTGTTGGCCAAAGTGGCCAAGAAACGATATCTAACCAGTCAAGAAACAACGAGATCGATTCATGGTGAAATCGCCAATTTGTTCTTCAGTGACTTTCCTACCGACATGGAACCGATCAAAGTCGAAGAAGCATGTAAGACTTGTTTATGGAGTAGTCCAAAGTCTAATTACGATTTCTCACTCGTCTCGTTTTATTTATATGCTTTAGATATTAATTATGTATTTATTTAGGTTTTAATTGTATTTTATATTTTACTCTGCTGTATTCTTAAAATATTCATAATATCAAAATTGTTTTCCAATATTCCAAAAATTAATCCTCATCAATGTCATTGTTTGTGAATTGTATTTATGACTTTTTTACCAATGATTTTTTTTTTACAATCTAGATTTAATTCTGAATTTGTTTCGATATTTCAGTAGGTCAAGTTGATGAAAACAAACAAACGCCATTCCAGTCTGCCTTCGTCACGAATGACGTCACCTACAGTCTGAGACATGTGGAAGAGTCCTGGATTCATTTGCTCAAAGCAGGTGGCCAACTTCAGTTTTTTAACGTTAGTTTATGGATTTGTTTTTACTTTCTTTTAATTGCTTTTCTGTACTTGTAAGTAGCCTAGTAAAATAAATAAATATTGTTTATGTAAGTCTGACAATGTTCCGGGAAAATGTAATGGTCCCTTGTAACAACATACCACATACTTATGTGGTGGTATGTGTATAAGGATGGAGGAGAACTAAAGGCATTCAAAAATATCATATCATCATGAGCCTTTTTTAAAGTCTGATAATTTTTTATATTTTTTATTCACCTGTAACGCTTAGTGAAGAAAGACAGATTTGGCAATTACTGAAGTTAATCATTGATTGGTGATGGTTTTTTAAATATCTTGCTTAAATATGTTAAATATATTAATTTAAAAACTAGAGGGTTCTTGCAGAAGTTAAAACAGGCGCAGATCATTTTCTACTTTTTAGTTTTTAGTTACATAATAAAAATACATCTTGGTGGTTAACTCTCTCATCTTCTGTAATTGGTGAATCCTGAGTGCAGTTTTAAACAGCTTTATGCTTTAGAAATATACTGGCACTAAAATGAATACTCTTATATCAAGCTTCTGCTTGTACTATTAATGTGAAATCAGCCCAAACCCTTCTATTGTTCATTAAAAATGAAATATTCATTCAGTGTAAAATTACCTGGAAGTCATTTAAACAAGTTGTAACATGTTATTGTTTTTTTTTTTTTTTTTTCTAGGAGATGGCAATCGTCTGAAACAGCTGACAATATGCAACTTTGACTGGCTGTTGGCAGCTGTACGAACAATATCCGTGAGCTACTTACGATCTACACTGGAACATGTCAGGTAAAAATTGTGACTAAGTTCTCTTTGCAATATTTAATATTTAAGCAGGTTACCCAAAAGACCAAGTGGGTGTAAAATAAAATAACTAAATACTAAATAAAGTTAGAAGAGGGCTAACGTTAGAGGGGGGGGAGGGGAGAGGGTTATTGGGGTATGAATATGAATTTATGTTTTTTGAAATTATTAGGTAAAATCCTTTCTTAGTGAGCGTCTACTACCCAAAAGGAAGATGCCTGCCAAGTTTCAGGTTCCTAGGTCTTATGGTTTCTGAGATTTCGTAATGAGTGAGTGAAAAAATGAATGAATGAATGAATGAATGAGTCAGTGGTATTTGAGCTTTATATATATAGATGAACCAGATTGATGATTACTATCAATGATAAACAAAGTTTTTTTTTTGCAGAAATCAAATTTATAGTTGTTTACAGAAGTTGAGATTACAGTGGGATTTGGTTAAGGGGAGCTAGAATTAGCAGGTTTTTCGTTAGTGTTTCAGATTAGCGGATATTGGAACAGTGGAGTACGCTTTATCGGTGTTAGATTATAGCGGGATTGTACTGTAGTTAGAAACTTGCTGGTTTGACAGGTGCTATCTACTGGACAGAGATGTAGAGCTGGTTTACTACACGGTGCGTAAGTCCAGTGATGTGTTGACAAGAGACACGCTACAACTGGCCGCGCAGATCATCTGCTGGCTGAGACCTGTAGCAGGTAAGATCATAATAATAGTCTTGGAATGTTGCTTGGGTCAAGTTTAGAACAATTTTATGCTTGGGCTTTAAGCTTACCAGTATGAAATTCCATTAACCCTAATCAATTGACAATGGTATCTAAGAATGCCAATGTGGTGGAAAGTACGGAAAGACCAGCTATGATGTCTTTCTGACTGTTAGTCACAAATTGGAACGTTAGTCACGAAAACAGTGTATTATTGGTAATTTCCTCCTATATGAATTTTTTGTTTTGTGATGGACGAGATTAGATTTTTCACTTCAAGACGAGACGAGACGAGATTTTTTTAATTCACGCAGGACGGGATATTTTTGGACGAGATTTAATCAAAAGTTATAAAAAAATTAATATTTACTTTTTAAGTTTAGAAAAGTTTAAAAATTTAAATACTTGACAAAAACTAGACAAATATATTTAAAATCTTTTATTAAAAAACATTAATAAAAACATCACCTATATAAAAAAATATTAATAAGGCCTAACTTGTTAAAAATAACTCTTCGGCATAAGAGACATGAAAATATCAGTTAGTATAGCATATAGTTCAACTTTGAAAAATATAAAAAAACAACATTATTATTGTTAAGTATCAATTAACAATTTTAAAGTCTTGTGTTATTTTTAGAATGATTTTAAAGTGACTTATTTTGGCTATGTTTACAGTAGTAAAACATATCTCACACTGCTTACACTAACAAAACTTCTCATCATTTGCAACTTCTCAAAAATTATAATACTATTGAAGCAATATTTCCATGTCAAGAATAAATAATTAAATATAAATGCCTTTGCAAAGTTTTTTTTTTAATTTATAAATTTCAAATTTTTTTAAATTCAATTTTTTTATTTTAAATATTTTTTAGTTTTTAAAATTTTAAAAATAAAAAAAAATTTAATTTTAATTTAAAAATTAGGAGTTTTTTTATTTTAAAAAAATTTAAAAATTTAAAAATTTTAAATTAAAAAAAACTTAAAAATTTTATAAAACTACAATTTTAAGAATTTAAAAAACTTTAAAATTTTATGAATTTAAAGAGATTTTATAATTTTAAAATGAAAATTTTTTTTAAATAAAAAAAATATTTTAATTTATTTTTTTTTATCTCGTCTCGGAAATATCCCGTTAGTATTTCAACCCCGCCCAAAGCTTCAAGATAACAAAAATCTTGAAAAAATCTCGAAGTTTCGGGTCTTGTCTATCACTATTTTTTTCCAAGACTAAACTTTATTTTGATCCCAGTTGTTTGTTCATGGTTGAGAAAATATCCTCCTGACTCAATAAACAACAATAGTGACACGTTATTGTCCGTATTGTGATGTTATTGTGCATAGAGGAATGAATATGTTTTGAATTTTGTAGATTTGTTGCTATCCCATATTTACATTGATCTTTTGCTCTTTACAGAAAGCAGTGGAGCCCTAATGTCTCGTATGATCCTGGCTGCGATGGCGTGGTGTGATGGTTACACTGATCCTCTCCTAGTGCCTCTCAACGGGTGGTTGCAGCCTCCCCTACCCCTACAGATAAAGAGTAAGTATATGGACCACATTCAACCACTAATAGGACACGATTAAAAATAGTTAACAAGATTTTTGAAGTTAATTATGCAATGCTTTGTGAAAAGGCATCATGTGTGTTAATTTTGAAATGTTATCTGTTTTCCTCCTTATGTTATAGTAACTTAAGTCATAACTCTTGAACATACTTATATTTATGTACACTAAGAGTGTTTTACCTGTATCAAAGGCTTTTGCTTGAAAGCCTGCTCATTTTAGGAGGGTATTTTAGTTGAATTTGCACCATATTCTATATTCAACAAAGGATATAGGCCTTTAACTGTAATCTTTTACCCAGGTGTGGTGTGCCCGGCCGGGGTAGGCCTGATAGCTCCGACACCCTCAGCTCAACATGTCGTGGTGGTGACGTTAACCGGGGACACTCAGCTGTGGCACATCATGTCCAACACTCTCATACACACCTTCAAAGGTAATCAAACTGTATGTATACAGATAGAGAAAACTGCTTGCCAACAACTTACTGTCACATACTTGTTGGCTTGTCTATCTAGAGGTAATTTCAAATATATACAGGGTTTTCATAAAATAATGGTGGGGTTTTAACTGTCTGTAAAACTATTATAAGACAAATTAAATATTTCATATTGATACCCCTGGATCCGGTAGCTCAAACAGTTTTGTTTACATTAATCGAAACAGCTGTGTTGATTATTATGCTAATCGACAACCTACTTTCTCTTTAAATAAATTTCAAGTTGTATTTTCTTATAAACATGTTTTCCGTCAAGAAAAGGCTAAGTGTGTAACTAAGTGAACTAAAGTCAGTAACTGTAGTATAGCTTTAATACTTTTAATACTTTTCTTTGAAATGGCGACCATACAAAGTAGATATTTTAAGCCAAGTATGAATGGAGTGTATGATGAGTGGCGCGATCTTGTAGTCTTGTTAGTGACTAAGGCCGACATATTCCTTAGACACAGCTGTTAATTAATAGCCCAGACAGCTAATGGCGACTAAGGGACCTACAGTTTATAGTGGAATCCGAACTACTTTTTTTCCTTGGTATATACAAATTGGTCTAATAATCAGGATAGTACTGCAGATGGTCGTACTCACCCGTGCGGATTTAGGATGTCAAAAACATATATAGTTTATTCTAAAAAACTCAAAATCTATCCCATCTACTAGAAAGAACCAGAGATGCAGTCTCCATTGTAACAATAGAATGTTGCTCGTGTGGGTTGAAATAGATCATCATCTGGACTTATGTAGAGCAAGAAATGGTTGTCATGTATGTAAATGCTTATTAGTTATGTAAAATGATCTTTTTGATGTCAGGAATTCAACAAGATAAAAAGTTTGTTTGTATCTTTCCTTTTGTTCATTTTATTTCATAACTAAACCCCACCATTATTTTATGAAAACCCTGTATAATAACATTACATTTCCTGAGACAATATTAAAAGATAACTCTCGCTGCTAGTACCTATAAGTCCTGACTGTACAATTTGCTGATATTTTTCAATCAGAAAGAATGACTACCAGTATATATTTTTTAACTTAATTCAAGTTGTAGCCTGTATACCACAGTCCTTTGAACAGCAGCTCAGATTAACATCGGTTTTCCCTGCTACTTGAATGTTCATAGGTACTAACAAACATGACTAAACGTTCTGAAGGCAAGCAATGCTAGCCAAATAGTATTTTTTTATGTTAATTGGTGATACCTAGTGAATGACTTTGAAACTAAAATTACTCCAAGATGGAGGGAATAAGCTGGTACGATGTTTATACCAGAACAACTGTTTATGTCTCATGTCATACTGTCATATAACGCTGTAAACAGCTGTTTTTGTGAACATCTCTAGCAGAACTGGCCTTAGGATTGTGCAAAAGGTGTGGCCGCACCTCGAAGAGACCCGCACTTGGTGTAAAATACAAAATATTTTAAAGATTCTATGAGTTTTGAATTAATGATGTTAATTATGAAAAAATTAAAAAGTGGGAGTATTAATACAAAAATTATTCATTAAGATTGTTGTTGATCATTATTGTTATAGTACAACTTTTTTATAGTAATGCACACTGATTGTTTGAACTGGGCCCCGCATTACACTAAGCTGGCTCTGGTTGTTAGTACGATGTTAGCACACTAAACAGTAAACACAAACCATTCGCGGCAAACGGTTATAGAGTATTCTGTAAATAATCTCCTTTTAAGGTTGAATTAACCTAGGATCAATTGTGTTTCGATTGAACATAATAACTTATTTACTAACATTAGGTTGAATGAAATATGTGGGACGAATATTGTTCTACAACCAATCAAACTTTTCCTCTAACCCTCTGATGGTTCTGGCAGGTCACAGTGGTCGTGTACTTTGCCTCGCTCTCACCAAACAATCTCAAATTCTACTGACAGGATCTGAGGACACGTCAATCATCGTGTGGGACTTGTCATCTTTTGAGCAAAAAATGAGGATTTTGTAAGTCTTATCAGATTTTATTGAGAAACTCCTAATGTTAATGCTCATCGAGTGGTATATGTGAATTTTGATACAGATGTATGGTAAACATACAACTAGTGAATATGTTAACATTCCTTTGATTTAATCAACATGTTTTGACACAACATTTAACTAATAAAATGGTGTTTTTTTTTCTGTCTACAACCAAGGTTTTGAGCCTAAAGGTTAATTCTCAAGTTAAAATACCAAGTGGTTGGAAAAAATCTTCTTTATCATTGGAGTTGTGAAGAACCACTGTATTTGTAAAGTATTTCGTCTCTACTTCATTTTTTTCATCACTCTCATATTGTTTTTTTTTTTAGTAAAATGTTTAAATAATTTCTTAATAATGGATGTTTCAGTGAACACATAGCCCCAGTGCTCAGTGTGACCACGGCACTGGACAACACAGTGGTGGTCAGTGGTGGGGAGGACTCCAGGATTATAGTGACGTCATTGAAAACTGGAGAAGTTGTCATCAAAATAGACCACCATAGAGGTCCAGTGACAGCTGTACAAGCCACAGTATCTGGGGACATTCTCATATCAGGTGGGTTAACTAACCCTTGCAACAGAATCATCTGATCTTAGTCAATAACAGAGCCTCCCAAGGCATCTCTTTCCATGCCACACTCATTCTCATATTTAGAATGAACTATGAAACATTAGTGTTCACTAGTCTTAACAAAACGATTAAGATGAGAGGGCATCTCAAAAGCAATACTACGGGTAGCATAAACAATATTGAGCAGATAAGGAGTCCTCCACATTTTGTTTAGTCCTTTTAGTCATCTTAATGTACTTAAGGTGAAATATCATTCTTTTAAGTTGTATGTTTCATAATTAAACACTATTTCAAAAGGGTTTTTTGGAAACTTTGAGAAGTCTCACAACATTTCTCTTGGGAAAAAACTTCATACAAAAGAATCACTCAATACAAAACATTACAAACCAACTGAACTGAAGATTGTGTCTAGGTTCGTCAGACAAGTCGGTGTGCCTCTGGTCCCTGGACAACTTCACATTGCTCAACTCAATCTCCGTGCCATCTCCTGTAAACATGCTGGACATCTCCAGTGACTCAGTGTTCCTGTTGGTGGCTTGTGAGGACAATCAGCTGTATCTTCATACATTGGCCACTGGCACACAGATACACTGCCTGCGCGGACACAAAGCTAATGTAAGGGATCAGCTATAAAAATACTTTAGCTCTGTTATTGGGTATAGCTAGTAATAAAACTCTTATCTCAAATAAAAGCTTTGTATCTAATAATCCAAGTTCAAATGTAGATGTTTGTTTAAATGCCGACGACACCTCACTTTATGTTTCAGCTAGGGACATGGCTCATCAAGAGGCAATAGCATTTGAAATTTCCAATAGAGCTTCGATTCAATTTGATTTTATTTGATTCTTGTTGAAAACTGATCATAGTATTTGCAGCCATCTGGGAAAGGCAAATAAAAGGTTAATTCATTTCTTAAGGAAATTACCAGTATTTGAGATCAAAAATATGAGTGTTTGCTTACAGTATGGATACATTTAGAACTCCTTTCCTCACAGTAAATATATATGAAGGTTTTAAGCGGTTTACCTCACACTAAAACCTGAGGTTATCTGCATCTTGCCCTTGTTCTTGAATACTTTGACATAATTCAACTGTACAAAACACGGAAGACTAATATAATTGTTTCCAGCGCATTTTCTAAACGATATCAAAATAAACCAATAAGAAAAGTCAAGTTCCGTTCTCCGCCAGGTGGTATCTGTGTGTTTGGCGGGGGACAACCAGCGAGCCGTGGCTGGAGGAGCGGACGGGAGAGTCTACGTGTTTGACATGCACAGTGGCTGCCTGGTGCGGACCATCTCCACCAGCCATAACTCCAAGGTCACCGGGGTCAAGGTCACTTCTAATGACGACTTTCTTATCACCGCAGGTAGGCTAATCAAACTCTTATTTAAAAATGTTTAACAATCTGTTATACAAATAGATTCAGCTGTTATAGATTCAAGGATAAGTTTGTTTCAACTTCTTAAAACTATAAAATATCACTGCATTACTATTGCAAGGTTGGTAAATAAATAGTCCTCTCATTTTTAAGCAAAACCATTATCTCATTCATTCAACTCTTCTTAATACACCATAATGCCTCAGTTACTGTATAAATATAATTTAATCAATCTTCTCTGTTAAGCTAAGCTCAAGCCGTTTAATGTTTAGGAGGCAATAGGATAACATCATGGAGCTTCAGAAAAGAAGACGGGATTGGTGTAGAAGAAGTGGGTACAACAATGACCAGCAAGACTTCTTCTACCCAGAAACCTCATACTGCACCCATCAATTGCCTGGACATCTCCCGTGACGGCACAACTGCTGTTACAGGTAGGCTGATGCTGCTATATGCAGAGTTGTAAAAACATGTATGCTTTGTACTTTGAAGTACCAAATAAACTTCTAAAATTTCAATCCAGGAATTAAATACAAGACTGGTTTGACTAAGAACTTCAAATCAATGAGCTTCAAGACATTCATAAGCTATTCTTCAAATCAAATCTTGTGTTATTGATTTGGAGGGTTGGAATCATAGTAGTTCTTGGTCCCAAATGTGTTGAGCCACCAAGTTCACTTTATTTCACTATCAGTCTGATTTAGAAATTGTCTTCGCAAATAATCAAACTCAAGCTGCAATATTCCTATTACAGGGGGACTTGACAGTCTGGTGAACGTGTGGCAGCTCAACTCCCACGAGTTACACTCCACTATGGAGGGTCACACGGCGGCTGTGACTGCTGTAGCTATCAGTCCCAACGGTCTCTTCACAATCTCTGGCTCCGAGGACAAGACAGCACGCGTCTGGGGGCTTACGCTCGGCCTTGTTGTCTCTATATTTAAGGTAAATACCATTTTGGCTTGAGTCGCAAAATTATTATGAAGCTTGAAAGTGATTTTACTCCTAACTTTCTTTCAGACAGTATCATCATTGATGCGATTGATGATGAGCCATTTATTTACAATGTAAGTCAGCAACTGGATTTATTTGGCTTACTTGAAAAATGTTCAAATGTGCACTAGGCAATTTATTGTTTATGAAATATTAGTTTGTAGCCAAAGAACTAAGCCCACTTTGTAGATAAATCATTTTGATTTATACAACTTTGACAATACACGCCAGGATGTTTAAGATTAGTGTTTTATGTATGAGATTATAGCTCTATCGTAACTGACTAATATCAGCTGGACCATTTATTAAAAGTCCATTGCTGAAACTGCACAGCTTGCACAGCTGGGTTTAGTTTTTATCCTTCATAAATAGTTCCATTTTGGATGCACGTTAGGTGTGTTTAATGTGCACTAATGGGGTGTGTTTAACAAGACATCGGCAGAAGATTATACAGCGGCCAACTATAGGCTTTGTACTACCTTCTTTGTGATACTGATAATCAGCAACATAATCTCATCTACCATTAGACCAAGTTTCACGTCAAGACAGGATTGAACATGTTTGCTTTCCCATCTCCAGGGGCACCAGGCTACAGTGACGGCTGTAGGAGTGATGTCCGACAGCCGCAGAGTCGTGTCTTGTGACAGACAAGGCGTGCTTGCTGTCTGGCTGGCAGACAACGCTACACTGCTGCACTCTGCCCTCGGTCCCACCAACTACCTGCAGATCACCAACAACATGAAGTACGCTGTCAGTGGCGATGGTGACAACAGGTTGGTCAATCAGTAATTCACTCTTTTTAGACAGTGCTTATAAAAGTTTTTGAGTAGTCAACGCTTGTTGGCCCAACTGGTCAAAAGAATAATATATATTTTTTCAGAATCTCAGTAGAACGCAATTTTAGTTTTCAATTTCATTAGTCTTTGTTTGGATTGTTTAGTTATACCTATTTTAAAACATGTCACCTTTTAAAACATTTTTAGATTTTTTGCAGAGTAACACACAATATATCTGAATTAAAAGTTATAAAATATCTTGTCTCACACACAATTTGTAAAGAATCCACAGTATATGTCATATGTAGGCCTCCTCCCAGCAAGTAGCTCAGCTACAAACATGTGAACTTCTAATGAGTTGTAAACCTGACCAAAACTGGGTTCAAACCTTTTGTTCTACTGTGCTGTTTCTTGGTTGAAAAAACATCACATTGATTAGCTCAGCTATCGATCATAGCAGTATTGCCACTACCATAGCTGCAAACCTAATGTCTAGTGTGAAAATCTTAACTGCCTCCCAGGTAGGCTGTAAGTAATGACTTTGGTTAGGTAATTCAATAAATATTAGGAACCAGTTTTTAAACATAAATTAAGTTCCTTTATTAAAGCCTACAATAAAAACGAACATATTTTTAACAGTTTGCGGATCTGGCCACTCACCAGTCACCGAGATGAGGAGAGATTTACAATTAGCCACACCAAGGAAGTGACGTGCTTCGTTCTCACTGCCGACTCCTTACATGTCGTGACAGGCTCACGAGACGCCTCGCTCAAGGTGTGGCAGGTTATTGGAGGAAAACTCACTCAGGTATTGAATCTAACATTCACTACCATTGGAATCACTTCATATAGATTCTAATCCTCTTTTCAAGTTAGCTGTCTTTAGGTACATAGAATTGTTGATTTGCTTAGGGATGGAAAAAATCTATTGATCTATACTTGTAAATGACAACACTAATAATATTAGTTCTCATAAAACACTATCTTATTTTGAAACGTTTGTCTTATGAGAACAAAAAAAAACTATATCCTGATAACTATAGTTTTAACTTATCGATTTCACAAGACTTGCGGTAGCGTGTGAAGGAGACCATAGCCCCTTCATCAAATTGTATTGAATACTACTGTATTTTATTGTCTACTGGTTGTTTTGCTAGGTGCTGATGGGTCACACAGACCATGTGACTTGTGCGGCCGTCGCCATCACTAACAAGACGATTGTGGTGAGCGGCTCCAGGGATTCTAACCTGATAGTGTGGGACATCAACACTGGCAACGACATCCACCTCTTGTCAGGGCATCTGGGCTGTGTGACTTGTGTTAAGGTGGCTGGAGATGGAACTGTCGCTGTTTCAGGTTTGTTGAGTGGCTGAGATGCTGCATTTTTTATAACTACAAGGTAGAAAAAAATTAACTCTTGTTCATTTCTTGAGATGCGATAAATTTATTTGATAAAGGTTAAAACACTTTTCTTGAGTCGCTCCGCTCAACTGGCTCTCACAACTCTGACAGCAATTTTAGTTTTATGGGAAGGATGCCAGCATATTCTAATACAAGAAACATAGAAAACTTTTGTTTATTTGTGTACTTTTTGCCAGAGTGAACTCTTTCCCACTCAAGTACAAACAACAAAATTAATAACAAATAATGACAAAAATAATGTTACCCTCTGGTGACAGTAAGCTAAACCAAACAAATTATGACTGTAAATTAACCGTTTAAAATATCCAGGGTCTGAAGACAAGAGGATCATAGTGTGGGACACAGCCAAGGGCGTTCCTCTGTCTTCTCTGCAGCTGCATCTGCCCATCCTAGGTTTGGTCATGTCCACGGACGCTACTCGTATTGCGATTCATCTGTTTGAGAGCAGACATCTGCCAATCATCTGTCTTCACAACACTCCAGCCACATATGTCAAAGCTCCTGTCTACGTCGCTCCTGCCAAAGAAATCGAAGGTAAGTTCTGTGGAAAGTTAAATTTCAGTGTCTCGCCGCACCTCTGCCAAATTTGTTTTACAACAATACTGACCTAAATCTATGAAAATGTATAGCAAGTGTAAGTTTGATTTGGATTAGTGATTCAGGATGACATTGGCTTCTCACATCCAATACCTGATTGGTTGAAGGTTGCGTAGCATAGCATGCATTGAATAAATCATAAGTTTATAATTTGGACTGATGTGATAGCATTAATTGAAGATCGCTAACTAATGAATCATCAGGTTTTGATCAGTAAAATAATCCCCCTATGAACTCATATCTTTATCCTTAATTGAAAACTTGATCTTTTAATTTCATTGTCACTTCATTAAGACATCACATCTATACACATATAAGGATGATCGTGGAATGAAGTGAAGATGCCTTGTAAAGCTTTGACAGCGACTAAGATGAGCTGTTTCTTTTCAAACCAGCTACTTCTGACCAACCACTCAGCTACTAAGTAGTGTTGAACATATTTTTAAAAGTCATATTGTAGCCTATGTCTATGGTTGATCATTTTACTGAATAAAAACCAATTTCCAGACCTGAGACCTTCAGGGCCGAAGCGTCCGCTGAGAAGGCTGCTGAAGAAGGAGGTCTCACTGGACACGTACACTTGGCAAAAGAAGTACGGACACTTGACTTCCTCCATCATGATGGCTGCTGTGGACGAGAGACTCAAGCGGAGGTTCTCCGTGTCAGCCAGTATGGAGGAGATCAGCAAGATACCAGCCAGCAAGGAGCAGCTAGGCTCTCAGGTAAAGATTGTATAAGTTAGGATGATGTGAAAGAATGATGAGAGAAAGGCTCCCAACAACACTGAGAGTCACGCCAGTGGTATTAAACTAATCCAACAGCAATTCATTTTTGGGATGAATTAACAAAATAACAAGAGCAACAGTGGTGGAGGATGGGTTCTCTTGGGCATGCTAATCCCACTATCTACACCTGCAACACTCAATACAAAAACTCTTAAAGGATGACATATTAAATTTAGAATATCAATTGTGACTATCAAGGTGGAAACTGTGACCATGTCCTTCATAAGAGGAACCTATTATCTTTGCCTATTGATCGAAGTAAACATGCTATTTCAATGTTAAATTTGTCCCCCCAGATTAGAATAAAAATGGAGGTAGTTTAGTTAAACCACTGACAAAGTGCGCTACGCTAGTGTCAATTATAATTCCAAAATCCAAAAGTTTTAAATTAAATTTGTTCTTAAATCCAAGGAACAAAGCAAAATTTAACATAAACCAAGCTTTAGTTTGTATTAAGTCTCCCATTTCTCAAATAATTTAAGAAGTGTACATTGGAAAATATGAACTTGAAATTTTAAATTTCATCCATCCACAACCTGTAGAAAATTCTATATGAAAACCAGGACATTTTTTCAAATGAAGCTGTTAATGTCCAAAACAGTAATTCTTTCACGTTTTGGTAACGTAAGTTACAAAATTATGGTATAACATTGTCAACTTAACTCTTCACCTAGAATCACCCCTAAAACTAGATCTTATATTTGGATTATTTCAGAATATTGGACCTGAACAGGCAGCCCTTGCTCAATCCCAACACTTTGATCAGCTGGAGGCCATGTGGAATCGAAGATCACCGCCTCGATCCCGAAGACTCTTTCAGGTAGAAAATTAACTAATTTGAATAAGAATTTGACACACATTTTGCTTTATAACTGTACGCTTGCTTGAACTTTATACAAAATTATTTCAATAGAAAGCTACATTTTACTACTATAGGGCTTAATAGCCTTCTCGAGGTAAGGTCAGAAATTTGTAAAGAAGACTTAGATTATTTTCAAAAATCCCACTTGCATTAACCAATGCAACTAATCGACCATTTATTTACCAGCGGTTTTCCAGGACACAGACTTTACAAAATTTTAGTTCAGTGGTCAATGCAGTGAATGATTACTATATTTTAATTTTTTTTAATTTGTTTTAAGAATATACTAGTGAACTTGTTGCTCGAATTCGAGCAATTGCGAAGTATTATAGGCGTTATTTTAAAATGAATAACAGTAATAATTTCCGATGACTTTAAATGAGTCGACTCAAAGATAATGGAAATACTCACGATGTACATAACAGATCGATATAATCAACATTTCCTGTGAATATCTTGTTTTTTTTAGTGTTTGTTTTCTACAAATATTTCCCACTCATAGCCGCATTAGGTTGTCCATAATAACGATTATAAATTAATAAAAAAAAACAGTATTTCTATTTCTTTTACTTGGTGGTGTTCTATGACTCTCCTATGTTTCCATAGTTTGCAAATCGGCTCTTTCAATGATTGCTCAAGAAATACAGCACAGTGTTAACCCTTAAACGCGCTTGCCGGGGTATGACATACCCTCACGTATGGTAATTGTGTCATAATTTTACCAAGTATGGTTGCAACCCTTGTGGGCATAACAGTAGCTGCCTAAAATAGCATATATGCTATCATCTGGCCGCAGGGTTGTTCGTCTTGACCGAGTCATTGACCTGTTATGACCACCCTGGGTCTGGCATACCCCCACGCGCATGCTTGTGTTACCAATAATGTGTTCATAGGGGGGTCTAGTGTACCCCCGTGCGCGTAGTAGTGTCTTTGTTTTATTATCATAATTTAGTATTAATAACTTTATAACTTTATTATTTATAATTTTGATATAGTGTTGAAATTTTGCAAAAAAAACCTTAGTATCTGTAAAACAATTGGATGGAAATGTCCTACCATAGAGTCCACTGATCTAGCCTCCCAGTAAAAAGGCGCGGTGCACCGTCTGCCTTGGTAAAAAACACTAAACACAAAATTTAAGTGTAAAACTGTATAAAAATAATGTGCCAGGGACAAATGTAAAATATTTGTGAAGTGTGTTTAAAAGGACTTCTAAACCTAGCACTGGACAAGGATTTTTAAGGAAAAACACATTACCAAAGAAAGTTTTTAATTTCTTTTATTTTTTACAGTATTTTCTACAAACCGGGAAATGTATTAATTCATGAAATATTTACTGCTTCCATGGATTTTTACAAGTATTATACTTTTGTAAAATTAAAACTAACATTTTTTGCAATAAAAACTTGTTTAACTACGATTTTTCCCTCTTCAACACATTTATTAAATTTCATCATGAAAAAATTAACCCATTGGCCTACCAGTTTTGGGTTCAAAATATGATTTTGAAAATAGTTAAAGGATATGCTAGGATAATAAAATTTACGTAACAAATGTGAGGAAATGAATATAGATATTATGTCTAAAGTTTAAAGAGTTAAATATCAAAAACTTTTTTTAAATACCATTTTTTATTTGGGGGGCCACTAGACCCCCGCGCTCGCTCCGGCGTAAAAAAAAAACGAGTGCAATTTCTATTCATTCCATCCTGTTAACCAGCTAACATCCTAAATTTGGCAATAGATTAATGTAGCAGAGAATGTTTGGGATAACGTTAGACCATTGGACTAGATCATTTAATACATTTACGCCACACTACACTATTTTGACGAACTTCCCACGCAAGGATTTAGTCCAGAAAACAGCTGTTGGCCGCCAGCTTAATCAAATGGGCTCCATTACGTACTACTGTACTGTAATGAGTTTTAACGGACACCAAACAGCTGATTATAATGTATTTGGGTGGCAATGAGTGGTTAGTCCTTGGTGGTAATATAAGGATTAGTACAGATTTAGTAGTATGGTGTAGACTATCGCACGTCACTCGTCCAAAATGTGTTTACCGGACTCGTATGGTAATCTCGTGCAAGACAAAGTCGAGTGGTAGAGAATGACCACACTCGTCCGGTAAACACTTTTTTTCAGGACTAGTAACGTGGTACACCATTATATGCTATTATGAACAAATTTGTAAGAAGAACCAGTAACTCAGTGAAACTGAATATATACTGATTAGTAATGGCTTACAATAGTTATGTTTCCCAAGTCTATAGGAAAAATTATATTAATTTTCAAAAAATCAATGTGATGCATGTCATACAGTGTGTAGATAATTCGGTAGGAATGGCCATGTACAATTTAGTAAATCTCTACTTCTTTTAGTTGATCTTAACCATAGTTCCGTTTTTAATTTCATATTATTATTTTTTCAGTCCCTCTCAAAACAAAACTCAAGGTCAAGTCGAAAAGATTCTGAGGAAGATAATTCACCTTTAGAAGAGGTTGATGGTATGTATATTTATTATATGACATACTAGCGAGTACCCGTCCTTCATACGGGGTTGGCATATAAGTATAAAATGCCTATTACAGTTGTGGGAGAAGACACGGTTTAAGAAAATTTGGTCTTTAAATTTATAAGGTATCCTATAGTGTAGCACACTTCTACCATAGACCTAATGTACTAATGCACCTAAACCATAGAAAAAAGTAAAATTCTCATTGTGTATCACAACTTTTTGGCCCGACAGACGTCGTCCTGTCCTAATGTGGTTTTATGTCAAATGCTCGTTCATTTTCAAGATGAGCTCTTGTTCACATCGCTCAATCACGTCCTGGTTGAAGTTTGTTTGCTACGCTAACTCGCCTCCAGGTTGAAGTTCGTTCACTACGCTCACTCACCTTTTGGTTGCAAATTAGCTGTTGTTATAAATTTAAAAAAATAATAGTGCTGCACCCTGTTGGTAAACCTATTACCTTTTTAATGCTATTGAACATCACAGAATCAAATTGTTTAGTTGAACCAGCTGTTCAGATTCTTTAATTCCATTTAAATATAAGTACTCATAAGGTTAACATGGGGAACTACAGAGCCACTGGGGCAGAGCCCGAAAGGATTTTTTAGATAACAATATGCATAAATGTTAATCGGGAATTTGAGCTATCATCATGCCAAATTTCAGCCCAATCTGTCCAGTAGTTTAGGCGTGATTGAACAACACACAAACACACAAAGTCACAAACCTTCAGATTTATAATATTAGTAAGATTACACATAGTTCTCGTTGGTTTTATTGATTTACAAGTTACCAATCAAAGATGAAGTTAGTATAAAATAAGACCAAAACAAACTGAAATACAGATGGCACTGGAGGGAAGAAGAAACATCACATTCAGTCAGTTTTATTTAGTCAGTAGCAGTGGCAAGACAGTGCTGGCCAGCCTGTACAGTTTTAATCAGTTTTATCAATTTTTTCCCATTTTAACGATTTTATCAACATGACAAGTTTCAATAATTGTGATTGTGACAGCCTATAATATATTCAAACCAAGGGTCTCAATGAATAATACAAAGTTATTGTCTTTACAACAGCAAATTTTGTCCTTTTCCAGATTTTTCTGGTGATTAAGCTCCCAGAATCCTCTTCAATGGAACCAAATGTGATCTTGATTCAATCATCATAGGTAGGTTACTGAGTGCAATAATGTATCTAGATATAGTAACATTCCTTTCAAACCATTCAAGAACACTGTTCCTGTTGTTTATCTTTTGTAGAGTATTTTTATACGTTAAGAAACAAAACCTAAGTTTTTTTATTCAATCAGTCCTTGAACTAAAAAGAAATTACATTTACACATGTAAGCCAGAAGAATTGTTATCGTCTATCGAGGTATTCAGTCATCTGGTTTGTCCATATTGAGAAAAAGCAAATGAAGGTTTAATACCAAGCGAACAAAGTAAAATAGCATGTACTTTTGGTTGTACAATTTCATATTAACCCTCAACTATAATTGCAAACACCAATGGTGAAATAACAGTTTATTTCAAACGTTGTCATTTTGTCATTGTAATTCACTGTTATTGCATTGTTATTTTATTCCTGTCTTATTCATGCATTATTTGGGCGATAAATCGTTTATTTAACTATTTCTTGCTGAATGGTTCTACAGTAAAAAATTGAGAGAATTAAAATTTTTAATAAGCTTTAAAGATTCTTTGAAAATGTCTTTAAATATTTTATAATACCCATTTTAAAGGATTTCACAATACATGTTAAGAACAAAAGTTAACAACAATCGAAAGAGTACTAGTTTTTTTTTAATAGTATATTTTACTACTAGTCACGAAAGTGACCCATTTCCCATATTAAATAGAAATGCTTATTTTTTTGTTATATCAACTTTTTTGGTATTTCCAAGCAAGTGCAATACTTATATCTAAATTTAATTATACAAAACTTTATTTTATTGACCTAATCTAATATTTTCAAAATATCAGTCACGCCGTACTTTTTATTAGACTTTTTTAATCATCTTTGACTAAAACTAACAGTTAAAATAAAAAACTTTATATCTAATATAGTCTACCAAGTCTTTCTTTACAGTGTTCTTGAAGACATTACATTTAGAATTGTAGATACTACTGACAGAGTATGGTATCTAATGTATTGTGTAAGTATAAGCTGTAAGTTGTTACGTGTATGTATGTTGTAATGGAATAGTCAAGTAGTGTAAGACTAATTTTCTACTCAAAGTCTGGTAGGTTTCTTGTAATCTAAGAGTTGGTATAAATGAAAAATGATTGTGTGTGTTTAAAAGATACTACATACTAATAACAATTCAAACATAATAATTTTGTTTTTCTTTATTTGGAAAATACACTTTTTGGTAACTTAAAATAGCCTTTACAACTTAATTAAAATTAGTTTTTCACCTGCATTTTTCTATGGATTGGAAGTGAAAATTTGTTTAGCTAGATAGTTAGATATACTTTTGAAGAAATGAAAAGAATGTTTTAAAAGCTGATATTCTGTATTCTTTCATCACCAGTCAAATTCTTGGGTTTGATTAAAACAAACCATTTGTTAAGTTACTCGAAAACTTTAAATTAAATTAAATTTTTACATTCAGTGTGAAATTAATTATCTTTAGACCTTCAGAATAAAATCGGCATTTCTGGTGGTGTAAGGCCTGATGCAATGTATTTCAAATTCCTTGCTGAAGCCCATACTTACTCTTGCTTAAAGTTTGTAAAAAAATTTAGTTAGGTTTTTCCTAAAAAAAGCTTTAAACTAGGGACTTATTTTTGAGTTATGGTTTGCTGTTTAAGTATTAAACGTTTTGCTAAATACATCTTGAAGGTTGATAAAAATAATTTTTAGATTACAAAGATCTACCGGACTATAATTTATTTTCAGACTAAGCTAATAAAGACATTAAGGAATAGCCATCTTTCCTACTTATCTTTGTTAGAGTAAGTTGCCTTGTATGATAAAAATTATTCTCTATATTTAGCATTTATGATTATATTTTGATCTATATGCATTTGAAGCGGAAGACATTATGTTACCATATAATTTTGTTAATTTTACATTTAAGTTACCTACTTTTTTACTGTTGTAAAATTAGAGTACATGGTAAGGTTAAACTTAACATTACATAAATTAAGTAAGTTAGTAAAATAAGTAAAAAGTTTCTGTCCACCAATTCCAACAGTAAATTCATATCAAATCGACAACATTTCAAAATATACTTTAGAATCTTAACTACTAAATTTTCATTTGACCCGTTGCTTTATTTGTTGATTCATTGTTTTCTGCCATAGCTTATTGACTTTATGACAAAGTGTTAGAAACAAGAATGATTATTTAAAAAGACATAATAATGTATTGCGTTTATTTCAATAACATGTCATAAATTTTTTCTCTGTGATGTTTTTGAAATCAATTTTTTTACTAAAAGTCGTAGTTAAAATGTTTACTTTTATCTTTTTTGTCATTTTTCTATAATTTTAAACCAAAAACATTTTAGGCCTAGAAATTTTATTTTTAACATTATTTCTTTTACAATATTTAGGTGGTTTTAGGGGAAGAAATTGTCCCCTCCACTTGACCCTTACCTTTTAAATAAAAGCTCAACAGCCGATTAAGCAAAATACATTAAATAAAAAAAAAAATACGGAGGAACTTCCTTTCATACCACCTAAATATTGTGAACGAAGTGAAGTAAACAAGAATCATTTTAACCCTTTGCGGTCGAATGGCGAGTATAGGTCGCCGCCCGCCATTTGCCAGATTGCTCAAAATGGCAACTTATGGGTACCGGTGCTCAAAAGAAAAAAATCAAAAAAGTTTATTATTGCGGTTGAATGGCGAGTATATGCCACCAGGTGCCGTTCCCTCACTGCTGGAATGACAAACTATACTCATGGAAAAATGGGTAAAAAATTTGACCTCAAAGGGTTAATTGTATGTTTATTATGTTCCATCGACTATAGTTCGGCCGCTTAGAAAACGACCTGTGCGCTAATGCTAAACCAATGCTGGAGGAGGTCGCTTTCTAAGCGGCCGAACTATAGTTGAAAATGTCCTATCCTGTTTATTTTTATTGTAATTGGAGGTGTTTAGCAACTACTTATGTTTTAAGTATTGATGTAAATTTAAATATTTTATCAGCAAGTTGTGTTATGTCCAATACAAATTTAGTTCCAAAACAACATACCTTTTAAAACTATTCTATCCAAAACAAATTACAGTAACTTTGACGGTGCTTAACTTGCAGCAATTTCTCAGTTATCATTTTTACCAAAAGTAGTTTTACTATATAATATATTATTTATTGTAACCCTAACAGTAGCAATAGTATGTATTTAAAAGGTTAAACGGTCATTAACCTATTTTGTAACATCTATACAACATTCTGTGAAAACCTTTTCTGTGAAAACCTGTAGCAAAGAGAACTATGTTGTGTTACTTGTTGAAATGTTGATAGTTTTCAAAAGTGTTGCTAGGTGTTAGATTTGGACAAAGAGTGTAACTTGAGGTCAAGTAGCAAAAGCTTAGTATGTTTGTAGATTTTCTTTTTATAGGTACAGCATTTTAAAATAATCATGCCAATAGGCTTAAAAATCTTGAACAACCCAATCATTGCTAAGTGTTGTAGAGTAAGTTGGTACCTGATGTAATTATAAGTGGTGTGGATGAGTTGGATATTAAATTAATTCATTTCTGAACAGTAATAACATAATAATTCAGCCGGTTAGTGGATAAAGAACTATTAACTAGCCTCTTCTTGATTTTTGAATTTATTATTTCTGTTGTTTGCTTGATCTCAAGTTAAGGTATTTGTCATACCGTTGTGTATGGTACATGTCAAGTCTACCATACTAGAGTATAATACTCTATAGGACAGTTCTGTGCTGTTTACATCTCGTGTGATCTTAGACTATCAACTGGGCCTCAGGCTGGGAGATATAAATATATATTTGTACAAAAATATACTGAATGTTTGGATTGCAGTCTTTATTGCTTGTTGATCTGTATTTTCACTGAGGTCCGCCTTCTCAATGTCAGACCATCCGTTTGTACCTTTTGCAATATTTTAAAACTGTTACCGTCACAATAAAGAACCATTCTTAACAGGTGTTTTCTTTACCTATTGAAACCTACACAGGCTGTGAAATTAGTCAAGGGTCTAAAACGACTTAAAAATATGTTTTTTATCATTTAATCTGGAAAAGTTAGTAACAAATTAAATTTACTGTAAAACTATGTCAAAATTAAACAACATTTGTAGATTGTAGGCCAAGGCCAAAGATTCTCAGCTATGGTATGTTTTGCCCACTTTGTCTGCTAGATAGGTGCTTTGAGAGATTCCTAAGCCTGCTCAATTTCTATTATCACCATTCACCTCTGAGAAGCCGAAACTTGTCAGAGGCTATTTTGAGATTGTAAAATCGTTTGCTATCATTAGCACCTTTAGCTGCAACGGATTATCGTAACTCAAAAATATTAAAACCTTTCGGCTTTCAAAGTACGGTATTGAAAAGTTTTGTAGTTTTCTTCAAAAAAATATGAGACATCAACCTCTTTATGTAAATATTTGTTTTAAAATAGTAAGGAATCTACCTTCCTTGTAGAACCTGAAATGTTAATAATTTTACAAATTTTCATTTCTCAAAACCAAGAGTAGAGACCCTCAGAACCATGAAAAGGGTGATTTAATAAATGTACAATGGGTGAATGTAATCTATGAGAATACATGAGACATAAGAAATCAAATCCGCAATACCCCCCAATGATGGCCAAAGATTTTTTGCCAGAAATCCATTGACAAGAATGTTCTAGATAGTACACTACTAATCAATTTTGGTTAGGAAAAAAGAAAACTATATATTTTATCATAAAATCTGTACTTAAACGATGATTTTCAGTAGTAATTATGGAATACATCAATTAGGTACACTATTAATACCTAAGTATAAAAGGGATACATGTTATATTTACAGTTTGAACATACATTAATCTTTGGTTAGACATCAACACAGTAATGGTAAGGTACACTAGAGGGCTTAGGTATAGTTGTCATGTTGGCTTTGTAATAATAATCATTTTGAGGGAAATGTTCATCAGAATCATGAGTGGAACTCGCACCTTCGGGCACTCCTCGTTCTCTCTCCGTACAAAGTCTACTGATGGTCATCATGCTGGGGCTAGTCGGCATGGGAACGTTCTGGTAAATGTTGGGATGAACATGTGGAGGTTGATATTGGTAGACATCGTGGTGGCAAGGAGATATATAAGGGTTTGCTTTGGAGTATGGAGGAGGGGGTGGGTAAGATGGCGAGTTGACTGGGATGTTCATGTAAGTGTGCATTCTGATGGGAGGGGTGAGAATCTTCCCCTCGTCTGCTGGGGTTGGTTGAACTTCATTCACCGGATATCTACAATATTGCCTCTGAAGTACTGGGTGAAGTTGTCTAGGTCTAGAGGGATGACTGTTATAAGAAGAAACTCTGTCAGGAAAAACTGGCTGGTGATATCCATGGAGATCTGGAGAACTTACGTACACGTTCTGCAGCATCTGACTCCTTCCCTGGTGATTTCCAGGATACCGATTGAGCGAGGGGTGAAAGTAAATATCAGATTCTCTCTGACTCAAATGGGGATGTTCGTGAGATTTGGTTCTGGGGACTGAGAATGCTGAGGGAAAATTATCTATTTCTTCATAGTTCTTAGAATCCAAAGAACAAGTTCTGTGTACATTGAGCTTGGGTAGAACTGGTTCGTACCCGTCTGAAGATTCATCACAAAAAAGCCTTTCAGATATCGGAATAGAGCTGTCTGAATAATTGGAGCAAGCTGTTCTTCTTCCTTCCAATTGATAAGGAGTCTCAATCTGTTGCTGTAGCTGTTGGAGAATTTCGATTGTTGAACCAAATTTTGGCTTTTCTTTTTGCAAGGTATTGTATTCATTGGGATAGTTAGTTAAGTTTGTGGATGAACTAGTTTTGTAAGCACCTGAGTTGTTGAAACCAGTTGATACACGACTTTCTAGTTTTGGTGTGGAACTGTAGCGTTTTCTTAGTCGTTCGGTTCTTCCAGCATCTTGTTGGACAAATAATTCTAATTCATCTTGTCGGTTTTCATGAGCGAATGCATCCTTGATCTCTTTCTCCTCGTCAGTCAGAGCCTCTTCTATGTCGGACAAGCTATAGACTGTGTCTCCTGCAGTGCTGTTGCTGGCAATGGAATTTCTTTTCTCTGATTTTTCTTCAAGGTTTTGTGACAGGCTTGACAAAAATGAACGTCTTGCTTCATCCGTTGGACTAGTTTTGGTAGGACTATATTTATTGCTGGAGGTCTCATTTGATCTTGTATGGGATATGCATTGATTATATCGCATCAAGTTCAGACCTTCTTTTGCTTGTTTTGGCAAATCCTTTGCTTTCTGGGGCTGTCCAAGATTGTAGTCCTGGTTCATTGGAGATTTGGATGTATTTTTCCACACTGGCTGACCAGGCCTATTCTGCTTTACATCGACATTTTTGTTAACCTGTGTTTCTTCACTTTCACATGTTAGTTGTTTGATTCTTTCTATTAGAGGTGTAGAAGAATTAGCTGTTTTACCTTGTTTTGACTTATGTTCTGCAGCAATTTTAGGAATGTTTCTTCTTGAAATAGGCTGTTCAGCAACTTTTCTCCTTGTTATGTTTATTTTATTTCTATTCTCACAGTCACTTGACTTGGTGCGGTTTAATAAATTACGAGTACTTTCTGACATCTTATTTGGGTAGTGATTACCATTACTGTTTTCCCGATTACTGCCTCTGTTAATAAATGGATTGATAGGTGTAAGCTTTGAGTTAGGAAATAATTTTCTCACTGCAGAATTAGGATCTGATTTGTTTATAAAGTACATGTTACTACCAAACATGATTACATCTTGAGTTTCATCCTCCATCAAAGATTCTCTATCATTTTCTTCACTATCGTCATCCTCACAAAATCTGACTAAGCGCTTTCCATCCTCATTTCTTTGGTTTTCTGATTGTTTGATGTAGGAATTCATTTCTCGACTAGGCCTTTGGGTGGTTCCAGTCTTGAGGATTCCGGGCATTCCTGATTCCTCCCTGTAGTGGTTCCTCTCCAGGGGATGGATCCCTGGCATCCTTCCTGCGACTAGGGTCATGGTCAGCCTCCAGTATAATCAAACCTCAAGACTCGTAAGGAAGAATCTGCAACAAAACATGGGCAACTATTAGATCTCCCTGCAAGACTCTTTTCCTATTTGCGTAACATTACATCATAAAAACGATCCCTCAATACCGGCACTAAAGATTTTTTGTTATAAAAACTAATAACTAAAACTAAACTTTTTAAGTGCTAGATGACGACAGAATTTAAATAATTTTGACCGAGGTTTTTTATTACAACTTTTCCGATAGCAAATGAGCTGATTGTTGTTGTAGAACATGGTGCTACGGTTCCTCAGGTCACGGTTTCAAATACAGTACCACAAAACACCAATGGCTCTTCGCCATGTGATAATGACACAAAAACCCTCTAGGCCTAGCTTTCTAATGTGTAGCTTAGCTTTTTAGGACTTGAAGATAGGAGTTAAACAAGGTAGCTACAAAAATGATACCAGCTCAAAATCACTACAAAAAATCTTTGATTTAGACCTAGAAAGAAAATGTTGTATTCAGCTTGACGATGGCAATGCAATAATGATAAATGACAAATTATAATCTTTTATTGCCTTTAAAACATGGTACATCAGGCTCAAAGAACCTATAAGACTTCATCTCAAAAACTATAATCAGAATCATTCCTCTATTTACTATTTCATCAGAACTTTCAGTAGTTAAAAATCGTGTCTCATACGTTGCAGCAGTATTTGTGTTCAAGAAGAGAGTTTTCTCTGAATTCATAATGAAGTCGTGTCTAGAGGTTCTCCAGTGAGTTTAAATCGCGGCAACTTAACTATGAGTAAAAACTAGTCCTGCCGTGTCTGGAAGTAGAAAAATACAAGATGACATTCTTGTAATGCTTCAGTCTGGAGCGATACAGTATACAAGGCTAGAGGAGGTCGAGGCGGTGCTCTGAATCCTAACTGTATTGACAATCTTGTAGACACCAGGAATGCAGCGAGTGTCACTACTTGCTACCTACCTCAGACAACGAGTACACGAGGCCAGTGTGATTAGTTTATATACTATGTATAGTGTACTGTCTACTGTCTAATAGTGTACAATATATATTAACAATTCTTATGGTCACTTTTCGACGTGACTGTGGTAAGAACGGACCCTAAAACCGTCTCTGGTGATTTCCCATTTATAGTGTGTTCCAAGTATAGTCTAGTTTACCCTATATTTAAGTTATTTAAAATCATAGATAGCATAACATATCGCTAGTATGCCCTGTTGAGATTCCATATTTTTTACTAACAAACGATCACGATTCGAACTGATTAGTCCTAACCAAAATTGACGTAGTACATAATAAGGAGTAGATCTACGTCTACACACGTATAAGTATGATCATTTTCCATTCGTAGTCGGGTCGAAATAATTGGTTTCATATCATATTTAGGTTACCTAACATCTTGATATGTCTTGTTTAGTTAGATTTACAATTCACTATTCACGACAGTTGACAAACGTGTGCGTAAAATGTTTTTCCATTCTTCCAGTCTGTTATTCACATATTTTACAGTAAATTCAGGATAAACTATAGAATCTTATGTCGGTATTATATGTATTATGCCTTCAACCAATTAACAAAGAAAACATCCATATAAACAAAAATGCAATCTCATCAATGTTTAGTAATCAGTATTCGTTGACAGATTGAAAAATTATACATTATTTGACATACTTCATGCAAGTTTCTCAAAACGAGCATTTTCGCCATTGAACTTACGATCCGGGAGGCCGTGGCGTGGTGGTAATTACCCGCCATTGTCACAAGTTCCCAGGTTATGTTCGCGCCAGAACTGTGATATTAACAATCAGCTGTTCTCACGCTCGTGAAACTCCGACTTTCCAGTTTCCTCTAGTTCTTGACCTCCAGACTCGCTACCGAGGAGATTAGAGATCATGTTGATGAATTGACTAAAGACTCCTTTAAACCGCACCTCCTCGAAATTCGAGGATCTCTTGTTCTTTGAAGTAGGAGTAAATCTGTTTGTTTAAAGTCATTATATTGTTGCCAAGTTCTTAACCAGTCAGATTCGTGATTTGATTGTTAAACTAGATTGCATCACAGAGAATAGAAGTAAGTTCCCCACAGAAGAAGTGAAGAAAATGCATTTGTCGAGTTCAAATCACTATATTTTTACTCCACTGTGACTAGCTTTGTAATACATTTTCTAATCAGAAACATTACGTCACGAATAAAATTTAAGATGCACTAAACACTTGTAGTCAGGCTATTACGATGATCATTAAAATACAATATTAGTTAATATAGTTTCACTTGGCTAAACAAGACTAAACAATGTCTAGACCTGACTGAATGCGAGTAAGACTAATTATTTTTAAAGGCTTGATAAAGGCTACCATTGACCACAAACCATTCCAATGTCCGTTAACCTACTAAGACTGTTCTGAAAGGTTACGGTCTTAAAAAGTTCGTGTAGGTTCACTACATTTTTGTGCTTTTGTGACAAAAATCCTCTAGGTGATTCAGGTCAGATTTCAAATTATCAAAATTGTATGTTATCTTTTATGAAATGAAAATCGTGTTGCTGTATATCCACAACACACATCTCTGTATCTGTTTTTGCGGAGTCTCTTCGAACTAGTTTCAGCAAGGTTTCATTCCGATGTAAATGAACTGAGGAGAGAAAGTTCGCTCTAGGATTAAGTTCATTTAATCGCATGAGTTTATTAGAAAGCTCGAGAATGCATACGATTTCATATTTACTTAGATTACTGAAACGTAAGCCTAAAAACGCTATGAAAACTATTGGCTTTTTATCTCATAAAGTAATTAGTGGTTTTTACAATTTTCCACCAAACTATTCGAAATAGGACAGTACAGAATTATTTACAAGTTAGGGTATAATTTCAACTTCAACCTTAACTATTTAGTCAATGTTTGTACAGAGTTCTTATAGATTTGAGTATCTGAGTTGTATGTACAATCTAAACATTTACACGTTCTCTTCTTCCATCTCTCTCTAATGTTGAAAAAAAATGTTTGAGACGAGATCTCTCCCTACCCATCTCTACCAACCACATTACAGTTCAGTTAACAAATCGATGACAGCAGCCTTTGCACTTTCATTAATTAAATTTAATTAGGTTTAAATTACTTAAATTGAAAGTTATTACTTTATATTTTATTTTTACTCAAACCCTGTAAAACCCCAAAAAATTTATAACGGCGTATTAATTGGAATCTACTGAGGAAATCCATACAACCAATTACCAAATTAACTATCTGACACCACAATATTATTCAATTTTATGTACGACGCGACGTTGGCAAATACCACACTGCGTGTTTTAAGATGATGATAAATTAAGGATGGCTGTTGAACGACGGAGATGATAGTGGTTCATTACCAAGAACCATGATCAAGGACAGGTGGCTCTGGTTTTAAATCATCAACAACCTAAAAACGTTTCTCATTAAGAGTACACACTAAATCCACTTGACTATCCAGCTTTTATGTACCATTTATATACTTTGCTTTACCAACGCAAGTACCAACGCGGTCATTGGTTTGGTACAGCGCAGCAGACTCTGTCGACGGTCACACCCGGGTGACAACAGGTGTCGTACCGTGTCAAATCTGGACCCAAACACCCGGCAAGGTCCTTGCTCGGAACCTTCGGTCCGTGTCCAATGTTCCAATGTCCATCCTCCGCCCTCGCTGCAGCACGATGCGTCCTCACCACTCCATGGAATGTTGTCTTTTCTGACCAAGTAGCGATCGACGTGAAATAATCGTGTTGTAAATAATTAGTGATTGAAGAAACTTATTGATTGTAATTCGTTTCTCCGCATATTATATGAAATAGTCACTAAGTTACATAGCACCTCAAACGCAAAAACAAAGAGATCAACCGGGAAGTACTTGAATAGTATACATTATAAAACCCTATACATATTTCCCCATCCATAGTTTCTTGACTTGGTATCATTTCGACTTCGACAATTTCAACGTCTAGGAGGATGTAAAAAATAAACTTGCCCCTTAAACCTAACGCTTAGCCATCCCTGGCCCTTGTTTTTTAAGTATAATTTTAATTTGGGCTGAACGTCTCATTGTAATCACTAGATAAAACAAAAAGTAATATTTAACTGTAAACATTTGTGAAAAAACGCGCCAGAAAATGTTTGATTAAACATATTGATTTACCTTAGTCCCAAGATGGTTGGATTTTTTAAATGTATCTCCATGTATATGATTTATACTGCTTTATGCTCTATATTTTATGTGATTAGGACTATGTTAAGAGTAGTCTTCTCAAAATACAAGTACGATAAACTATGAGTTGGTCGATTGCATAGTCTGTTCAATTCTACAAATTTAACTAGTATAAACGATTCTCCATAGCTATTGACATTATAATATGTATAATGGTTACGACCAGGTGATTTACATTTTTCTCATCATGAATTTCATACTTTATATCACCTTACAGATTTACTTATCTCTTTCCAACCCCTGAACCAGAAACACTTTCTCTCTCTCTTTCCTCTCACAACCACAACGAAATGCAATACACCTCATGAAGTGCTATCTTGTATGTAAAGAAAGTGGTTTGGTGTCGGTGTATGTTGGCTGTAAGGCGAGCCGATGACTCACACACGGGGGACGGCGGGTGTGGACCGCTCCAAGAAAGGAACGATGGATTGGGACCACATCGCCCCCGCCGTCAAAGGGGATCAAGCTATATCAAGCTCAAGCACAGCACTCGAGAACATATACGACGAGATCACAGTTGTTATAGGGAACGTCTTTGACAGAAAACAGGTGGTTTCTGAAGGAGTGTACTGTCAACAGAGCTAAGTGCGATTCAAATCATGCCATGTGTAAATTATTGTTGTGGAGTGATCGTGCTCGATTTCCAAAATTAGTGTTGAGTGATTTCCATGAGAGGGCTTAAGAAAAAGTACAACACAAAAGTAATACATTATTGGTGTAAATACATGCCAAAGAAAGAAATTTACAGTCCCAGAAATGTGGTCTCTTAGGGGGTTAATGAGAGTGTGAAAA